AAAGAAACTTTATTTTATTCGTTTTTAAAATAATATATTGTCTACAATCAGAATTAAATATATTGTCATTATAAATGTATTAACATGCTCAGAGCCGGCGTTAGGGGGTGGCAAACGGGGCGGTCGCCCCAGGCCCCGCGCTTGAAGGGGCCCCGCGCTTCAGCAACGCCATTGTTGCCTGAATTAGTTTGTAAACTTAAATAATCTTTGCTGAATCTTAAATTTAAACAAAAAAAAAACTAAATGGCCGAAGTTGTTGGATGTTAAAACTGAGGTCACGGCTGATGTTAGTGAGTTATCCTATACATGGACTGGTACAGACCATTATTCGATACGAAGACATTTGTGTCACACATCGCTGGCACGGTCGACTTGCTATTGTCCGGAGGTGACTGGAGATGGCGGTCGCGAATTAGCCCCCGACCTGACATGGGAGGTAAAATCGGGAAAAACTTAAAAAGATACCCTATTGTTTGCGGACCGTTGAAGACGTTTTTTTTTTAGTGAGCAGGCGGGGGTGCCTGTAGTAAACAGTCAGTGACCTGATGATGGCTTGCAGAGGAGGAGGGGGGGGAGTGGATGGGGACATGCCCCGGAAATAAAGAGTATTTATCCCTAAAATCATAATTTATACACGGTATGGGCATCTTTTGTGTAACATCTTTTATGCATATTCACCACGACCACGTTTGATAGGCATCCATACAGTAATTATGTTCATATTTATTTTATATATTGCCAGGTCATCTTTAAATACATTACACTTGTATTTATTTTTATATTTTTGAAGGGCATTTATACATTAATTATGTCCATTTTCATTTTGGTAAACTTTAACGGTATTCGTAAAGTGATTAAGCACATGTTTATTTTAATTAATTGTAGGGACAGTGGCGTAGCGAGGTCGGGTGTCACCCCGGTGCGGCACTTAATGGTGTCCACCCCACCCCCCCTTCCCGAGGCGTAGCGACCCTTCCCGGAAAAAAAATTCAAATTTTCGATTTTCACCCCCCTCAAGTTTTCGATTTGCACCCCCCCCCCCCCCCACACACACACACCTCAAACTTTCGATTTGCACCCCCCTCGAGTTTTTCTCTATATATTTTTCTATTGTTTGCCTTGGTGTCACCCCTCTAAAAGGTGTCACCCGGTGCGATCCGCAACCCCCCCCCCCCCCCACTACGGCCTCTGTGTAGGGATATTCAGTATAATAGTTAAGACCATAGTGATTCTTGTCTTAAAATAGTGTAGGCACACTAAACAAATTATAAAGTCTATACTGTTTGATACATCGGGCCGAGACTGTTTTATGGTAAAGTTCTCCTGATTTCTAAAACGTCTAAATTACCGGCAGTCCGAGCATGCCATCGCGAAACTCATAAATAACATGAAGCTGGGCTGTCACATGGTTCACATTCTAATTATAGACACGGACCTTCCTCTGGTGAGAACGCGGTCTTAATCTGTAATGTAATACGTGGACGCTCTATACACACGCACCTTCTCTTGAATGTCTGCGGTCAGAGATCCAGTAACGTAGTACCCGAACAGATTTTTTTTAGGGTTTGGGCATCCCCTAGATTTAAATGTACAGTTATCCTTCACCTCACCCCACCAACTGTCCACCCCCCCCCCCCTAGTGTTCCACCTTACTGAGCGTCCGTGATTACATTTGAGAGTCATTTCCTTTGGATATCTATAGCTGTAAACAGTGTTTTTTCCACGATTCGAGCTTATTCCGAAATCTATCAATGTTTTGCTATTTTCCCCGGCATCCACACACTTTGAATGCCACTGTTAACACTCGATAAATTGAGAAAACTATCGATACTATCACCTGCCACTGTGGACCGATTTAACGTTGCTTCAAAGTGCCCGAAGGTATTAAGTCAGCCAAAAACAGTGCCTTCAGTACATTTGGAGTATTCGGGATTCCTTTCCCAATACGGCGATCGCCTACAGAATCTTGCTAACAGTTCCAGTCACGAAAGGCAAGAAAAGTAGATCTTCGTTTGTGAACGTACTGGTAAGATTTTCATAAATAAACATTAATGTAAAAAAAATCAGGTTTGAAGCTGACGTTCATCGTCTCTTTAATGCGTGTATCAAACTTATATCCGTTTTATTTTTTACTTTTCAAACAAAAATCCTTAACAGAAACAAGCAAACGTTTCAAAAGCACTTCTAAGTAAACAAATTATTTGTTAGTCAGTGTCTTAATGTTAATACGACATTGATAAACAGCTTAAAAATACCATATATATCGTTATAAATATTAATTCGCGTTGAGAAGAAAAAAAAAAAACGCCTCACTGTACGTGTTTTATTTAATTATACACCAATGAAAAAATATAAGGCCCCGCGCGGATGGTTGGCCATAGGCCCCGCGTACCCCCTAAACGCCGGCTCTGAACATGCTGATTGACTTTAACAGAACTTAACATTTAGGTTCTATTGTGTTTTTACAATTACTTTGCTGGAGGACTTTGTTCTGTCAAAATGGAAAAAGAACAAGTTGCTTTATGCCTACATGGAATGTTCTCTTGAGGTTTGCAGGCTACATTCTGTTATGGAATTACCTTTTAGGGTAAGTTATTGTAGCTTACCAAGTGGCCTATCAGTATGTTCTGTTGAGGTTTGCAGGCTACATTCTGTTATGGTATTACCTTTTGGGGTAAGTTATTGTAGTTTACCAAGTGGCCTACCACTAGCGTGTTTTTGTTTACGTAATAATCTGCATTATTTTATGCAAAACAACTGAGCAACCACTTTACTGTAAGTAAATTTTCCGGTTTCTTTTTCAATCGTTTTAATATATGTATACATTTCTGCACCAGTCCCACGTCAGTTTAGGGTAAGTTATTGTAGCTTACCAAGTGGCCTATCAGTATGTTCTGTTGAGGTTTGCAGGCTACATTCTGTTATGGTATTACCTTTTGGGGTAAGTTATTGTAGTTTACCAAGTGGCCTACCACTAGCGTGTTTTTGTTTACGTAATAATCTGCATTATTTTATGCAAAACAACTGAGCAACCACTTTACTGTAAGTAAATTTTCCGGTTTCTTTTTCAATCGTTTTAATATATGTATACATTTCTGCACCAGTCCCACGTCAGTTTATCAGAAAATAAAAACAGAATGAATACAGCCACGTTGTTTATCGATTTACAGAGCTTTCAGTTTCTCAAGGCCGTGTGATGTAATATATCCTAGTCAGCACTTTTTTCTCTCTCTAACTACAGTCTAACATCGGGAAATCCCAAACGGTTTCCTCAAAGTTGTTATCTCCTAAAGTGTCTCTTATAGCTTAACCCCCCCCCCCCTCCTCCTCCTCCCGACACACTGCTTCCGTTTGAATCGCGGACATGGATTCAGTAAGCGTGCATGAATATGCTGGACGTAGATGTTCTATGTAATAAAATCGGATCATTTACTAACTACATGATATTTACCTAATAGGATAAAATAGTCCATCTTCGGATAGTAAAATGCTGTTGACCCTCTCTACAGAGGAGTTTTGAGTTTTGGGACTAGAGTTGGAATGGGGAGAGGGGTGAAGGGGGCGCTAAATATTATTTTTAAACGAACAACAAACATTGATAAACCCCATCAGAGGCGTAGCGAGGGGGGGGGGGGGCGGAAGGTGCGCTGCGCACCGCACCGGGTGACACCATTTAGGGGGGTGACACCAAGGCGAAAAATAGCAAAATATATAGAGAAAAACTTGAGGGGGGTGCAAATCGAAAACTTGAGGGGGGTGCAAATCGAAAATTTGAAAGTTTGTCCCCGGGAAGGGTCGCTGCGCCTCTGGGGGGGGGGGGGGGTGACACCATTAAGTGCCGCACCGGGTGACACCCGACCTCGCTACGCCACTGAACCCGATCATTAACTTGTGATATAATATAAGCCGATAGGCCTCTCAGTTATGATACTTGGACTACTTGTTGTTCCCATTTATAAAAGTCTTTCAGTACTTTTAAGGTTTCTAAAAACAACACTCGCAAACACCAGCTATTAATGATGTTTCTTTTGCTAATGTAGGATTTTTATTTGGTTTCTTCCTCTTCTTCTTCGTTCTTAATTGAGATTATGGTGGAGGATTTAGACAACAAGTCCAACTTCGTGAACAAACCGGACTGTGGTCTCCAGATCAGCAGGTGCCCCATATAATTTTTCCCTGAGTGGGGTGAGCAGGGGCCAGTGTCTGACTCGCGCCTGGCTATACAAAGAACATTCCTGAAGGACGTGCTCCATATTTTCCGGGGCCTTGCCACAAGGGCACATTTCGCCACACCCAACCTTTAGTTTTTTATGCATGTGTTGATTTAGTCTGTTATGGCCTGTTCTAAGTCGAAAGATTATGGTTTAAAAAAAACGAGGTTTTGAACATAATGTGGTCTGATGACTACTTACAATACAGTCTTCGACTACCGAGGATACGTTTCCCATACAGTCTCAGTTTCTACCATGCCATTTTTACACTGGCGATTTATTTAAAAAAAAATTCAAATACTCAGGATTCGCTTGCCCAATACCATTTGTAGCGCACACATAGAGAAACGACAGGACAAGTTTCCGCTGATGAGGAAATCAGAAAAAGAGGTTGGGGTTGGACCACCAACCGATATCACCTGTCAGGCATTGAGGTGGAACCCACAAGGAAACCGCAAAAGAGGTTGACCTAGAAACACCTGGCGAGGGGACCGTGAAGCTGAAACCACACCTGGAGTCAGGTGGAGAAGATGGCACAGGACAGAGGACTCTGGAGGTCTTTGGTTGGGGTGACGGGCAGTGTTAATTGTGATGTTTTATTAAAAATAAAACAACAAAAACAACGTTGAAATGTCTTTCTCTGCATTACATGCTTGAATTAATTACATGTGAATGTTTACTGTCTGTAATTTTTGTTACTAAATATCGAAGCTTTTACCGTAATTTCTTTACACACGCCTAATTAACAAGTTGTGTTGTCTTCATCTAGTTTCTGGAAGAAGTCTGACGTCACACTTGTTTTGGTTAATGACGCCTCATCAATGTAGGTCACCGGGCATTCTTAAACACAGGGAGACAACCGTTGCCCTTGTTCTGTGGTACTACTTACAACAAAACAAACAGATAACGCTAGAAAGTTCAACGTGTAAGCACTGTAAGTAAATAGATTTGTGTATGTACTGTTGCAGTATGGTGGCTGTTAGTCTCATGGCATAAAAAGTTGCAAGGTTTCACGTCTTGCCCCACTTGTATGTAGAAAAAACCTGGGATATTTTTTTTTTTTTGCTTCATCTCAGTCATCAGCATAGGATTCTTAAGTAAGTCATACAGCTGTCTTCTTTTTTATTTGTTTTTTTTTTTTTTTACAATATAAAAAAATCGGGTAAGAGAAATATTTTAAGAAATAAAAGGTTCAATGGCATATTCAAATCTGATATTAAAGAACTTCCAACGATATATATTGTCCATACAATACTATGGGGTGCAAAAAGGGAAGCTACATCGTACCACCAGTGTTTCTTACAGACTATTTTCTCGGGGGGGGGGGGGGCACTTCATATTTTCGGGGTGTGGGGTAGGGGCGGAGTAAATTTCCCGGGGGTGAGGCGGGGCGGACTCTGGTAAGTATATATTTTCTATTTAAATTTTCGTGAGGTGGGGGTGTGAGGAAGGTAGACTTTATTCGGGGGGGGGGGGGGCGGAACTCCTCCTCCCCCCCCCCCCGCCCGAAGAGATGCCTGGAAGAAACACTGCATACCACCCACCCCCTGCCTTGTTTTATTGTTAATCTGAAAGACGAACACCCGACACATTCACAAGGCGCTTTCTGCAGATATGCATATTCTAAACCAGTTTTAGAGAATATCAGTGTACATTAAGCCGCTAATTACCACAGAATGCTGGGTAAAGGATGGCGTGGTATGCACGACGCCCAGTCGTCTTGATCTTTCCCAATTTATGTTAGGCTTTATACAGGGCTGAGTGAGCTCGAAAATGTCTTGTTAATTCCGTCCCAACCCACTTTGGCAAACTGACTGTAAATAAAATGTTAAAGGTATCACAGTATAAATACTTAGAAATGTTTAATCAGAAAGAAACAGCTGTTTGACAAGAATTAATTTCAATTATTCCAGCACACAATGTTAACAGTGATATTGTTAACCATGTAGTGAATGAATGTAAATGTTTACTAGATCTACCAGATTTTTTACTTTCTCGTATATACGAAGTATAGAGAAAGTCTTGTAGTCGTGCAAAAAAAAATCGAAATTTTTTCAAATCTCGACGTTTTACACCTCACTGATACGGAAAAACATAATTTTGCAATCTTGTCCGTATGTCTGTGTGTGTGTGTGTGTGTCTGTCTGTGTGTAAACACGAATACTTGAGTACCGTTACAGCTAGGTTGATGAAATTTTATATATAAGTATTTTATCAAAATCGTAGATCCGTATAGGCTTTTGAGCGATTTCCGATAACCGGAAGTTGTACCTTTCTTACTTTGAATTTTTCAAAAGCCTATAACTTGAGTACTATTTCAGATAGATAAATAAAATTTCACTTGTAAGTAATCAAATTTTGAGTAATTTCCGTTGACCGGAAGTAGTAATTTACGCTATTTCCAATTTCTCAAAAACGCATGTAAATTTATAAAGTACTAATAATATTGCGCACTATTATGCACATCTTTATTTGGCGTTCACTTGGTGTGCAATTCTTTTTACACTAGATTTTATTCTAATGTAAAAAGTTTAAGTATTTAAAATGGATTAAAAATCATGTCTATATCCCGAGTTCCCATCCCCTGTTGTTTTATATAAGAATATTCGAGAAAGTTTAGGGGAGATCACTCCCGGTTTATTTTACCATGTAGTGCATTTAACGTAATTCTTTTGCCCTCAGCATGTTTACATTGTAGGCCTAGTCCGACAGGGAGAAAATTGTCGTTATGTTATGCTTTTCTTATCTCGTAATGAACAGTCCAAAAACGTCACACCTAATTATACATTCCTAATTCACACAGCCAGCAACGGTTGTAATTCACACAGCCAACAACTGTTGTTATTCACACAGCCAGCAAGAGTTGTAATTCACACAGCCAGCAAGGGTTGTAATTCATACAGTCAACAACTGTTGTAATTCATACAGCCAACAAGTGTTGTAATTCACACTGCCAACAAGTGTTCTAATTCACTGTACTTATTCACACAGCCAACAAGTGTTGTAATTCATACTGTTGTAATTCACACAGCCAACAAGTGCCCTGTAGTCATCGGTTGGTTGAACCACCGGACACCCTGACAACCACATGTCACCCTGACAATCACCGGACACCCTGATAACCACACGTCACCCTGACAACGACACGTCACCCTGACAACCACACGTCACCCTGACAACCACCGGACACCCTTACAACCACCCGCCACAATGTCGTTGCTGAAGCCAGAAGCTCTACAGCCGTCACCCATCAGATCAGATTTACTGGAGAGAAATTATTCCGGAGCTTCGAACCTGGCCTTTAATGAGAAGATCAAGAGACTCAACAAAGAGGTGAGTGTTAGAACTTGGAATCTTTGCTTTGTGGAGCTAGAAATTAGTAAGCCTTTACAATGTGACAGATGAATGAACTAATTTCATATTCATAACGATCAAGTAAACTTACATAAGTAAAGTAAGTAACTTGCACATTCCCTCGTTAATGAAATCTGGAAACTAACATTACTTTAACTTCTATGGTTAGACGTAGATTGGGAGCAGGATATATTAATTGTAATGATTTAGGTTTAGGGTAAAGTGTTTTCATAGGCGACTCCAGCAATACTAAATATGTGAGCATCGCTAGGGCTTCAAGATTAGCTCTAATTAATAGATCGAGCACGCAGAAGCAATCATAGTTTAGATTAAAATAGCAATTAGTGGCTAATTAAAGATTGCACATCATTCTTATGCTCAACCAGTCTAGTCTCAAAATATTCGTTGCCCAGTGTTCTCATTCTCACTCACTCCTCTCAACACAGGGACAGAATATCTCCCATTTTGGATTCGGACAGTCTCCGTTTCCCATCATCGAGACTGCCATTGGTGCCTTACAGAAGCAGGCACATCAGAACTCTTACCTACCTGTTCAAGGTGAGTCAGGTTGTTTCACCGTGTCACGTGTTTTAAGGTTGTTTCACTGTGTCACGTGTTTTAAGGTTGTTTCACTGTGTCACGTGTTTTAAGGTTGTTTCACTGTGTCACGTGTTTTAAGGTTGTTTCACTGTGTCACGTGTTTTAAGGTTGTTTCACTGTGTCACGTGTTTTAAGGTGAGCCAGGTTGTTTCACTGTGTCACGTGTTTTAAGGTTGTTTCACTGTGTCACGTGTTTTAAGGTTGTTTCACTGTGTCACGTGTTTTAAAATTGTTTCACTGTGTCGCGTGTTTTAAGGTTGTTTCACTGTGTCACGTGTTTTGAGGTTGTTTCACTGTGTCACGTGTTTTAAGGTTGTTTCACTGTGTCAGGTGTTTTAAGGTTGTTTCACTGTGTCACGTGTTTTAAGGTTGTTTCACTGTGTCACGTGTTTTAAGGTTGTTTCACTGTGTCACGTGTTTTAAGGTTGTTTCACTGTGTCACGTGTTTTAAGGTTGTTTCACCGTGTCACGTGTTTTAAGGTGAGCAAGGTTGTTTCACTGTGTCACGTGTTTTAAGGTTGTTTCACTGTGTCACGTGTTTTAAAGTTGTTTCACTGTGTCACGTTTTTTTAAAGTTGTTTCACTGTGTCACGTGTTTTAAGGTGAGCCAGGTTGTTTCACTGTGTCACGTGTTTTAAGGTTGTTTCACTGTGTCACGTTTTTTAAAGTTGTTTCACTGTGTCACGTGTTCTAATGTTGTTTCACTGTGTCACGTGTTCTAATGTTGTTTCACTGTGTCACGTGTTTTAAGGTGAGCCAGGATGTTTCACTGTGTCACGTGTTTTAAGGTGAACCATGTTGTTTCACTGTGTCACGTGTTCTAATGTTGTTTTATTGTGTCACGTGATTTAAGGTTGTTTCACTGTGTCACGTGTTTTAAGGTTGTTTCACTGTTTCACGTGTTTTAAGGTTGTTTCACTGTGTCACGTGTTCTAATGTTGTTTCACTGTGTCACGTGTTTTAAGGTGAGCCAGGATGTTTCACTGTGTCACGTGTTTTAAGGTGAACCATGTTGTTTCACTGTGTCACGTGTTTTAAGGTTGTTTCACTGTGTCACGTGTTTTAAGGTTGTTTCACTGTTTCACGTGTTTTAAGGTGAGCCTTGTTGTTTCATTGTGTGACACCGTCTGTAACGCGTGCGACATGTTTTCCAAGCATCAACCTCACCATTACTCACTACACCATTTCTCATTCATGATATTTCTAAAAATAATCCTTCAGGTATACCAGAGTTAAGAAAGAAAATCTGCGATTTCCACAAGCACTACGATCAGGTGGATTTTGATCCTGAAGACGTCATAGTGGGACCTGGGAGCAAGGAACTCATTCTGCTGTTGTTGACTGTGTTTAATGGAGGTGGGTTCAGTGCTCTTTACCATAGTGTCATTACTGATAAACAATTAACCAATCAATCACTCAGATTTTTTTTTAAATTGAGAATGCACTAAAACATGTTTTAAATGTATTAAATGTTTAAAAAAAAATGAAATTTTTAATGATATTCGCTTGTAAAATGTAAAGCACAAATATCATCGTGATCATCTGGTTGGATTTCGTGCGTTAAAATTGTATCGTGCAATGTTTACAACTGCCATTCTTCACATCTTAAAAAGATGTACTGGTCAACTCCCCATCATGGACCACGTACCGACCCCAGGCCATCCTCACTGGGCACACGGCTTACAATGTGGACAGCTCAGAGGAGGATGAGTGGAAGGTCACGGTCACAAGTTTAGAGAAGGTCAGTAGGTCAGGGTTGAGATTAGCTACTGTACTAAGTGAAAGACAAACAGCAATGCATGCTTAAGCCGCTCAACGAAAAATCTGAAAATAAGAAAACAATATCTTGCACCCCCCACTCCCCCTTAACATTGGATTAAAAGTGTAGTGTATGAAGTTTTGTAGTTTCGTTCTTTGTGCACACTCAAAACTTAATACAGTAAAAATCTTTTATACACACTCAAGCACACACGCACAATCACACACACAAAACAAACATAGCGTCAGTTTTTAGATGACTGTTCTAAACATACATATACAATTATATATATATATATACAATTATATATATATATATATATATATATATATATATATATATATATATATATATATATATATATATATATATAAATACTGAGTCAGAAATAGATTTAAGTAAGTAAAAGTGTTATTATGACAGTAAAAAAAAATTACAGAAGGGTCCATGGGGGGTTGTAACCCCCTTAACCCCCACTGCCTACGCCACTGTCTAAGGCAGTAAAAACAGGTGAACTCTACTTAACTTGCCACGTAGACCGTCAAGTTTGAAAGGGACTTTTACTTTTACTAAGGCAATAGGTGTTTCTACTATTATATCTATATAAAGTTTACGTTTATTTTCGTATATGAAACTTTAAAACACAGTTTTTTAATGACTCCATCAGGTAATCACAGAGAACGATATGAGCTATTACAAAATTTTAATCCTGACCAATCCCTGCAACCCAAGTAAGTGCACGTGACAGTCACATGACCAGTAGTCTGTAGGTATAGACGGTTTGCACGTGACCACAACCATAGTAAAATAGCAAAACTTAACCAGTCTCTAGTGAGATCCAAGCAATGATCTAATATCAGCCGCTGGTGTAGGCAGTAGGGTGTTTAGTGTGTTTGTCTGTATGTGTGTGTGTGTGTGGGGGGGGGGGGGGTTAAACCCATGCCCCAATGACGGCTAAATGACAGATGTCACAGTTAGAGATATAGTGGTGTTACCACATCATCTTGTGTCACCATATCCGCCGGTGTCACCACATCACATGGTGTCCCCACATCACCTTATGTAACCACATCACATAGCATCACCACATCACCTGGTTTCACCATATCAAATGCTGTCACCACATCCCACGGTGTCACCACATCACCCTGTGTCAGCACATCACATGCTGTCACCACATCACCTGGTATAATCACATCACTTGGTACCACCACATCATCTTATGTAACCACATCACATAGTATCACCACACCACATACTGCCACTCCGTACGACCAGCACCCTCATACTTCTGACACCACCGACGCCTTAAAATGTCCTCACTATCTCCCCAGCCGGCACTTGCTACACGGAGTCAGAGCTTAGGAAACTTACGTAAGATGTTCTCACCAGCACTAATTAATTAGTTGTAATTAACACTCAATTAAAATAAATCTACTGTAAAATATTTGCATTTTAGTTAGGACCCTTTATGAATTTATAAACGTCAAGCTTTTAAACAGTTAATTTGGATTAAGTTTTTTTTATTGATTTCCATTTTTGAGATATTTTACGACTAAATTTTTTTAGCGCAATTTCCATTCTGGAGAATTGCGTTTATTAACTCGTCATTTCTGGGAATGGATGGATGGATGAATGTGTGTCCGGGCTTTAAGTCGTATCTCCTCCTCAACGAAGCAATATCGATGACTAGTTCCAAAAGCAATTATGTTAAGCAAGTTACAAGAATGAGCATAGGCCATAAAAATTCCGGGTTTCTTTCATGTATTTCCCGTAAAAGCCAAAAAACCTCGAAAAAATGCAGTTTTTTGCCCATATCTCGGCAACCAGACCACTTAGCGACTTGAAACATGTACCAATCGATTTCTGCCATAATTTAGAACAATATTGCCGAAGAAAGTTTTCAAAAATATCCTCTCGTTCGGTCACAAATTTTAAAATTACATAAACACCTACAAACCGATCGCTCTTCTAGCTTGAACGCACCCCATCATTATACGTCAGAGCTATTTTTAGATAACATAAGGAAATTGCGCATAAATGTCACTAGACTTTTTTAATTAACTTGCGCGCCTACTTAACGTGATGGCGCAGCCATGGAACGCGATGACGCATCTATTGAACGTGATGACGCGTGTGGTGTGGTTGTATATACATGCCGGAAGTAGAGATCTATCATCTTAATGATTATCATGTTGATAATCAAGTTCAACTAACCAATGGTTTTAATGACCCTGCTCTTGATTTCAAGGTGCTGAGTTTAGTTAGTAGTTAGGTTTATTTAATAAAAAACGTTTTAATAACTAACCAATGGTTTTACTAACCCTGCTCTTGATTTACGCTACGACAGAGCTATTTTTAGATAACATAAGGAAATTGCGCTAAAATTGTCACTAGACTTTTTAATTAACTTGTTTCTGGTTTATTTATGTTTAGAGAAGTGTTCAGACGTCACCACGTGCTGGTGCTGAGTGATGAGATCTATGCACGTGTACACTACACTCACTCGCATGTCTGTCTCTCTAAGGTACTCATCAGCAGTCAAAATATTTTTTCCACTAATGCCGTTAACTTCTGTTTCCTAGCCTGTCTGTAAACAATCCGCTCCTGTATTTTAGGACCAATGTTTCTTCCAGACTTTTTTCTCGGGGGGGGGGGGGGGGGCACTTGAAATCTTCGGGGGGGGGGGGGGCGGTAAAGTTTCTTCGGGGGGGCGGACACGGTTAAAAGTAGTTATTTTCTATATAAATTATATAAATTTCATTTCGTTCGCCCCCCCCCCCCCCGAAGAGATGCCTGGAAGAAACTCTGTTTAGGACTAATTTAGTCAGTACTGTGACTGTTTAGATTATCACCAATATAAAAATAACTTTATTATCACGTGACTTATATCTCAGGTATACCCAGAAGGCACAGTGTTGAGTACTGGCATGTCCAAATGGGCAAGCGCTGGGGGCTGGAGAGTGAGTAATCTATCAAAATCTTATTGTTTCGATTGTGTTCTATCAAGTTGATGTAAATGTATTGAGCAGAAGGTTTTAATTTGTGTTTTCTATTGGACAGATCTAGGCTACTTAATGTTGTTTTCTTCTAGTCTATTGGGTAGATAAACTTTTATTCGGGGCGTATGCACTTGATGGTATTTTCTATTGGCCAGATAAATTTGAGAATAGTTGTATTGGACACATGACCTGATAAACTTAATAACTTTTTCTATTGGGTACATGCACTAGATGTAACTTATTGGTATTTATTGTCAAGTATTTTTACACTCTAGTACATCACATGTTATTTTGATGAGCAGGTTGGATACCATGTCTACCCAAAAGAGTTATCGCACCTGCTGTCAGTTGTGAAAAGTGCAGCCAGCCACAGCTTTTCTTGTGCACCGGCTCCCATGCAATATGCATTTGTTGAGGTAAGTTTGGTCAATGTTTAAAGTGGGATGGATGGCCCCATACAATATGCATTTGTTGAGGTAACTTTGGTCAATGTTTGGTGTGATGGACGGCCCCATACAATATGCATTTGTTGAGGTAAGTTTGGTCAATATTTGGTGTGATGGACGGCCCCATGCAATATGCATTTGTTGAGGTAAGTTTGGTCAATATTTGGTGTGATGGACGGCCCCATACAATATGCATTTGTTGAGGTAACTGGTCAATGTTTGGTGTGATGGACGGCCCCATACAATATGCATTTGTTGAGGTAAGTTTGGTCAATATTTGGTGTGATGGACGGCCCCATACAATATGCATTTGTTGAGGTAAGTTTGGTCAATATTTGGTGTGATGGACGGCCCCATACAATATGCATTTGTTGAGGTAAGTTTGGTCAATATTTGGTGTGATGGACGGCCCCATACAATATGCATTTGTTGAGGTAACTGGTCAATATTTGGTGTGATGGACGGCCCCATACAATATGCATTTGTTGAGGTAAGTTTGGTCAATATTTGGTGTGATGGACGGCCCCATACAATATGCATTTGTTGAGGTAAGTTTGGTCAATATTTGGTGTGATGGATGGCCCCATACAATATGCATTTGTTGAGGTAACTGGTCAATATTTGGTGTGATGGACGGCCCCATACAATATGCATTTGTTGAGGTAACTTTGGTCATTGTTTAAAGTGGGATGGACGGCCCCATACAATATGCATTTGTTGAGGTAACTGGTCAATGTTTCAAGTGTGATGGACAGCCCCATACAATATGCATTTGTTGAGGTAACTGGTCAATATTTGGTGTGATGGACGGCCCCATACAATATGCATTTGTTGAGGTAAGTTTGGTCAATATTTGGTGTGATGGACGGCCCCATGCAATATGCATTTGTTGAGGTAAGTTTGGTCAATATTTGGTGTGATGGACGGCCCCATACAATATGCATTTGTTGAGGTAAGTTTGGTCAATATTTGGTGTGATGGACGGCCCCATACAATATGCATTTGTTGAGGTTAGTTTGGTCAATGTTTAGTGTGATGGACGGCCCCATACAATATGCATTTGTTGAGGTAAGTTTGGTCAATATTTGGTGTGATGGACGGCCCCATACAATATGCATTTGTTGAGGTAAGTTTGGTCAATATTTGGTGTGATGGACGGCCCCATACAATATGCATTTGTTGAGGTAAGTTTGGTCAATATTTGGTGTGATGGACGGCCCCATACAATATGCATTTGTTGAGGTAACTTTGGTCAATATTTGGTGTGATGGACGGCCCCATACAATATGCATTTGTTGAGGTTAGTTTGGTCAATGTTTAGTGTGATGGACGGCCCCATACAATATGCATTTGTTGAGGTTAGTTTGGTCAATGTTTAGTGTGATGGACGGCCCCATGCAATATGCATTTGTTGAGGTAAGTTTGGTCAATATTTGGTGTGATGGACGGCCCCATACAATATGCATTTGTTGAGGTAAGTTTGGTCAATATTTGGTGTGATGGATGGCCCCATACAATATGCATTTGTTGAGGTAAGTTTGGTCAATATTTGGTGTGATGGACGGCCCCATACAATATGCATTTGTTGAGGTAACTTTGGTCAATATTTGGTGTGATGGACGGCCCCATACAATATGCATTTGTTGAGGTTAGTTTGGTCATTGTTTAAAGTGGGATGGAGGTAACTTTGGTCAATGTTTAGTGTGATGGACGGCCTCATACAATATGCATTTGTTGAGGTAAGTTTGGTCAATATTTGGTGTGATGGATGGCCCCATACAATATGCATTTGTTGAGGTAAGTTTGGTCAATATTTGGTGTGATGGATGGCCCCATACAATATGCATTTGTTGAGGTAACTGGTCAATATTTGGTGTGATGGATGGCCCCATACAATATGCATTTGTTGAGGTAAGTTTGGTCATTGTTTAGTATGATGGATGGCTCCCATACAATATGCATTTGTTGAGGTAAGTTTGGTCATTGTTTAGTATGATGGATGGCCCCATACAATATGCATTTGTTGAGGTAAGTTTGGTCAATGTTTCAAGTGTGATGGACGGCCCCATACAATATGCATTTGTTGAGGTAACTGGTCAATATTTAAAGTGTGATGGACAGCCCCATACAATATGCATTTGTTGAGGTAACTGGTCAATATTTAAAGTGGGATGGACAGCCCCATACAATATGCATTTGTTGAGGTAACTGGTCAATATTTAAAGTGGGATGGACAGCCCCATACAATATGCATTTGTTGAGGTAACTTTAGTCAATGTTTAGTGTCTGATGGAGGTAACTGGTCATTGTTTAAAGTGGGATGGATGGCCCCATACAATATGCATTTGTTGAGGTAAGTTTGGTCATTGTTTCAAGTGTGATGGACAGCCCCATACAATATGCATTTGTTGAGGTAACTGGTCAATATTTAAAGTGGGATGGACAGCCCCATACAATATGCATTTGTTGAGGTAACTGGTCAATATTTAAAGTGGGATGGACAGCCCCATACAATATGCATTTGTTGAGGTAACTGGTCAATATTTAAAGTGGGATGGACAGCCCCATACAATATGCATTTGTTGAGGTAACTTTGGTCAATGTTTAGTGTCTGATGGTGGTCAATGTATAAAGTGGGATAAACGGCCCCATACAATATGCATTTGTTGAGGTAACTGGTCAATGTTTAAAGTGTTATGGCCTTAATAAATTCCTGGAAAACGGACAAAATCTACACGATAGATCAAAGAATTAGATTACCTATTTTTTTAATTAATCGTTAGCTTTATTAGCTTTTGTTTTAAAATACTTTTATGACTACAATAATTATAAAATTTGTCGTACAAGCTTTCAGTACGTTGTTATAAAAACCAAGTAATTCGAATTACATGTCTGTATTCTTCGAAAGGTGATACAGAACAAATCAGCCTGTGATGACTACATTAAACACACAACTCGAATCATGAAAGTTGTAGCTGAGTTTTGTGTAAGGTTAGTGACTACACTAAACACACAACACGAATCATCAAAGTTGTAGATAAGTTTTGTGTGGGGTTAGTGACTACATTAAACACACAACACGAATCATCAAAGTTGTAGATAAGTTTTGTGTGGGGTTAGTGACTACATTAAACACACAACACGAAGTTGTATTTGTGTAAGGTTAGTGACTACACTAAACACACAACACGAATCATCAAAGTTGTAGATAAGTTTTGTGTGGGGTTAGTGACTACATTAAACACACAACACGAATCATCAAAGTTGTAGATAAGTTTTGTGTGAGGTTAGTGACTACATTAAACACACAACACGAATCATCAAAGTTGTAGATAAGTTTTGTGTGGGGTTAGTGACTACATTAAACACACAACACGAAGTTGTATTTGTGTAAGGTTAGTGACTACATTAAACACACAACACGAATCATGAAAATTGTAGATAAGTTTTGTGTGAGGTTAGTGACTACTACATTAAACATACAAGATCTAATAAAAGTGATAACTGATTTATTGTTTAGGATAGTAACCTACTTTATAATCCACTTTGTAACTACATTATTATATGTCAATTTATATCTTTATCTAAAGTCTATATTTTTCAGCATGTACATGATAAGGCACTCTTTAACTTCATTATAAGCGCCTTGTAACTCCTGTATACATTAATGTATGAGCTATTCAATGAAGCTATCACTGCATTAGTAACATGACTTTGTGTATCCAAGCCTATACCATCACTTCTCCATACAACTGCTAAAACACTTCCAATATTATAGGGCTGGTACGTAGGCCATAGAACTGGTTGGTGACCTTAACCAACAAAACTACACTTTTTGTTTTAGAGAGCTCCAGTCTGTGGGGGTGAAGGTCGTTCCCCCTAAAGCTGGGTATTACATTTTCCCCAACTTTGAGGTCATCAGGGGTCAACTGGCACGACGAGGTGTGAGAACTTGCCAGGAAATGTGTGATCTAATTCTTTCAGAAGTCACTGTTGCCGTGAGTCACTTTTACTCTTGGTACTTGCAACTGTATAGAGAGTGGTCCCCAGTCTCCAGTCGTACCTGTATGTTCACTTGTTCAAACGTCTGAAACTCATATCGAGGATATATTTTTTTCTAGTAGCGTTTACTTATTCTTAGCAATAACCCATACCCAGCATAAAAAAAAATGATCTACCTATGAAATTTACCCTTGACCATAACAAGGTTACTGGCAAGAACAACACTCTAGAACTTTACTGATTTGTTTAACCTATTGTTTTATAAGAACCGGTATCTGTTGAGTTTTGGGGTACTGTATTGTTACTCAAAAGATTTGACAATCCATACCTTGACTACGGCATATGAAAGGATGGTCAGCACTATGCTCCGTCGCTTTTGCTTGCCCTATCGTGGGTTAGGGAAGTCTGAGATCCGAACTCGAGACTTTCGGGTTAGCATTCGAACGCTCTACCCACCGTCCACACCATCCCATCATGTTACTGATGGTAATCGCTATACGACTATGTAGCGATGGTAACCCCACACGCCCCCAGTACAACCTTGTTGTCTCGTATCCAAGGTGATGCCCGGTGGACCAGACCACCTACGTCCGGCTGATGAGCTGACCACACGTCTGTGTTACGTCAACTTTGACGGCGCCCTGGCCTTAGCAGAAAGTCGGAAGTTGGGTCTTGATGTGGAACTTGATGCCAGCTTTGTGGAAGACGTCTGCACGCCCGTATACCAGGGCATTGTGGTAGTTATCTTTCTTTGTGGTGGTAGTTATCTTTGTTGTGGTAGTTATCTTTCTTTGTTGTGGTAGTTATCTTTCTTGTGGTAGTTATCTTTCTTTGTTGTGATAGTTATCTTTCTTTGTTGTGGTAGTTATCTTTCTTTGTTGTGGTAGTTATCTGCTTTGTTGTGGTAGTTATCTTTCTTTGTTGTGGTAGTTATCTCTCTTTGTTGTGGTAGTTATCTTTCTTTGTTGTCGTAGATATCTTTCTTTGTTGTGGTAGTTATCTTTCTTTGTTGTGGTAGTTATCTTTCTTTGTTGTGGTAGTTATCTTTCTTTGTGGTGGTAGTTATCTTTCTTTGGTAGTTATCTTTCTTTGTTGTGGTAGTTATCTTTCTTTGTTGTGGTAGTAATCTTTCTTTGTTGTGGTAGTTATCTTTCTTTGTTGTGGTAGTTATCTTTCTTTGTTGTGGTAGTTATCTTTCTTTGTTGTGGTAGTTATTTTTCTTTGTTGTGGTAGTTATCTTTCTTTGTTGTGGTAGTTATCTTTCTTTGTTGTGGTAGTTATCTTTTTTTCTTGAAACGTGTGGTTCAGGCAGTGGCTTAAGCACAAGATTATATCATGTGATATATATATATATATATATATATATATATATATATATATATATATATATATATATATATATATATATATATATATATATATATATATATATATATATATATATATATATATATATATATATATATAACTATATATATATATATATATATATATATACCTAATTGCATATATACATGTAATAAATTGATCGTCTCCAATGCCTAACTGCTTTTTCCTGATCCTGTGTGAGAAGTCCCGTTCAACTAGAAGATCTACTTATTTATTTTTTTTAGAAACTCAGGAACTGGATTCTAGAGCTGAAGACTGAGACCATAGAAAAACAATAGAGGACCAGGCAATCTATATTTATAGATCTGGGTTGAGCGAGTCGTATGACCACTCAGGAATGAGTAACAAAGAGTTGTAATACTAAACAGTGTTTCTTTCGGGTATCTCTCCCAACCCCCAACGAAACGAAAATGAAAATATTTACAGTTTGCAAGTCTACTTTATTTGGGACAGGGAGTTCGGATTGTAGAGCTTACGGCTGCTATCCTGACTCATATGAGTCCACCTTAGCTCTGATGGATATCTGGCTAAATTTAAGAACACACTATCCCCCCCCCCCCTCCATCCTTTTTAAGCTGAAGCCATTGAAACAGATGGACTCTACTTCACATGTACCATGGTGTATTTGCCACGTACAGGCTAAGATGGCAAAGATATACTTCAACTAATATCCGTCCCCCGCCCCAACGAAAGTTTCATGCGTCATCCCCCCCCCCACACACACACAAACCCCTCTCTTTACAGGAGAAAAAAAAGTCATATTGAGAAATATTGGGAGTCTGACAAATTAAATTTTAAAGTCATATGAATATAATACGGTTGAACTAAATGTAATGTGTTTTTTTTGTGTGTTAATTTTTTATGCTTCAAAATACAAATTTTTATTGCTTTAAAAATACAAATGTTTAACGCTTCAAAACACACAGATGGAACTGTTATTGCATCAGTTTTTTTTTAAAATAATTTATAATTTCGCTGTCAATAAAATATTTACTTTTTAAAAATGTGTTTATTTTGTAAACATGTAATAAAATAAACTGTACAATTTGTAGCAAGTTGGTTTTTTTTTTCTTCTGGAGTTTAGTGGTTTTCACCAAAGGACTGATTGTAAAATGGCGTGTTTTAAAAATAGTATGATTCCAATTTTTTAAAGTCCAGATTTCCACCTCACTTTAGTGGCTTAGTTGGCAAATTTTCTTCCCGAAACTACACGTCACTAGTTCATGCAGCTTTAAACTATTTTTAGAAAAGTTGAATTGTAAGGAACTAGAGATAAACAAAAAATGCTCAAAGATCGTCTACGCTGATTTCTCTGAAATCTGTTCATCGAATTTATTTCACACTGTCGAGAAACAGCTAAGATCTAGATCAGTGGTTCTAAACCTGGGTTCGATGGAAGCCCCAGGTTCGGTGAGTCGGTCTCGGGGGTTCGTTGGAGGTCAAAACACACAACCAATGATTCACAATCAGATTTTGTTAGTGCGGACCAAAAGGCAGTATTAAAAAGGGTTATATATACATTTTCTATATAAATTTTTATATAAATTTAATATTCTTTCTATTTCGTCGAGGGGGGGGGGGGAGCGGGTGGTGGACGGTTCCGGTCGTCTCCCCCCCCCTCCCCCGGAAATATAGGCCTCCCTAAAAGAAACACTGGTAGGAATCATTATACCTTTATGAATAAAAGTTAATTATGTCATTACTTTTTTAATTGATGAATAAAAACAACCCCAAAAAGAGCCAGGGGGGTGGGAGGGGGGAGAATGTGTGACAGTTTTTACTTTCGCATACGAAGTATCGATGAGGTATTGTAATCGTGCGAAAAATTGTTTTTTTTTGGTGGTTCGTCAAAAAGCGTGACGATATACATGACCCCCTAAACCAGAAGGTTTGCCTGACTTGAGCTGACCACATATCAGAGGCGTAGCGAGGGGGTGCGGGGGTGCGGACCGCACCGGGTGAACACCATTTAGGGGGGGGGGGGTGACACCAAGGCTAAAAATAGCAAAATATATAGAGAAAAATAATTCCACTTAATTAAGTGACTAATTCGAGTGTTAAGTAGTCTTTTAACATATGCAAATCGAAAGTTTGATGGAGTGGGGGTGCAAATAGAAAGTTTGAAGGCGGGGGGGGGGGGGGTGTGCAAATCGAAAGTTTGAGGGGCGGTGCTTATCGAAAGTTTGAGGGGGGAGGGTGCAAATCGAAATTTTGAGGGCGGAGGGTTCAAATCGAAAATTGAAAGTTTGTCACCGGGAAGGGTCGCTACGCCTCTGGGGGATGACACCATTAAGTGCCGCACGGATTGACACCCGCCCTCGCTACGCCACTGCCACATATAGTTGTACATGTGAAAAACATGTTTCTGTCTTTTATACTGACATTACTACACCAATAATCCGATTGCAATACACAATTTGGTAAGTTGTTGAGTACACTTCCGCAATTGTTGCTGACATTGTCATTAATGTCATATTACATTTGTTAAATCCTGGAATGGTGGCGCCCCACGAAAGTGTGTGGGTTAACGCCACTGTATCTCCATCTACTCTTCTAGAAGTCTGCCCGGGGTTCGATTATCATGAGTCCTGCAGACATGGGTACTATTTGAATCATTAGTCAAGCTGTTATATGGGCTTCCATCAGCGACCGCTTCATACGGAGCGCCCCTACTTCGTTGAAAAGAGCCCCCTATTCAATGGATACGTCGGGCTACTATATTCGATGACTAAATATAACCAGGTGTTGCACCAGTCACCCGTGCAGTAATGAAACCGCAGGCTCCCATGGTCGACATCCCTGACCCTTGGGTCGTCGCTGATGGGAGTTCTCATTCACCACTGAGGGGGGTGATCAACTTAAACAGAAGAATTGCTAACAGCAAACCCTTGGGCGTCCCGGCGGTAGTGTAGACAAAATACTTAAAAAGCGCCCCAACAGCTAGATCCAAAAAATTAAGTGCTGACGTTGTTAACTTTTAATTAACACTTCTCTGGAAAACAAGGTCACACGTGTAAAATACACGATTGGTAACGTTATATATATATATATATATATATATCCTACATATATATATATATATATATATATATATATATATATATATATATATATATATATATATATATATATAATTATATATATATAGGGCCTAATTATAATATATAGGCCTATATTATATATAATTATATATATATATATTAATATTTGGGTCCCAAAACTTCTTTTTTTCTAGCTTTCTAATCTACCGCCCCCCCCCCCCCCCCCTCCGGAGAAAAATGTCTGGAAGAAACACTGCTAATGCTTGTAAATGTAATAGGCTACACACATAGTATAGTAAAAAGGCTACGTTTGATGTCATTGATGAGAGAAAAGGAAATTACCGAAGATATTTTGACTTTGTTTTGGGAAATTCCCTTTCAGCGCTGTACACTTAGTTAGAGTAGCCTACCCTGCAAGTAATGTCGTCTTGAGTCCAAACTTTGGTAGTGCAGGTATTTAACAATATTCAACATATTATTATTGTTCAAGAATATAATAAGTCTGTATTTTCTGTCCATAAGCATACTCTACAACTGTAGTTACTAGATCTAGATAAAACTGGTTCTAGATCTAGTAGAAATCTAGTAGTCTTACGAATACTACTTTTGAAATGTCATAGGCTCCAGCCATAGGGGCCTAAATGAAAATGAAAATTATTTAATAGATCTAGAATGATAATGTCAATAGGCCTAAAAAATGACAAAAATTTAAAATAGTAAATTGTATAGATATTAGAAAGGCCATAGGGTAAATGAGTAAATAGAGTGAATGTACAATGTACTGTTTCAAATTTTGCATTAATATAATTTTACTAACTAAGGCTAAGGTAATCTATCGTTTTGGGTACGTAAAATCGCCAGCGGCTATTAATGTACGAAAACGTTACCTCATTGTCAAGGCTGTTATAGAAGTATATTGTGATATGTTTGTGTCAAATATTATAGATAAATGAATAATAAACCTAAATCAATGGCTAAATATATCAATATAGGCCATAAACTAACTTTAAACAGCAGTGTCTGCAAGCAAGATTTGCTATATAAACAGCAGCCATTTGTAAAATAGAGTGACTTCCGCCTGAATCTCGCGCTATAAGTCTATAAAAATAAAACTTTAACAAGATGGCTGCTATAGTAAATGAGCATGGTTGCATCTGTTGGAAACATCGCTGGTGTTCACTTATTACTGGAAAGTTTTAATTCAATTGTTTAAAAACAGGTACATAAATGAAACAAGGAAACATTTTTGTATTTTTCAAAACATAAATCCTCCTCAAAATGTGAAAAAATTCTTAAAATGTAAGGAGTCACTTGTTTTTCACATTACTAGTCGCGGGCGATTTTACATACCTAAAACGATAGATTACCTTTTACTAATCTCTAAGATAAGGCTAGATCTGCATTCTATTATTTTTTATAAAGTAAAAGTGACGCCTAGCCCTAGTGTAGAGCCTAGAGCTTAAAAAAATAAACCTAACAAAATAACATTAAAGTTATTGACATCTTACTTAGTAGGAGTTATTTTCTATAAAGTAAGGCTGCTACATACATATTCTATAGGCCTAATAGATAAAAAAAATATTGGGACTATAGGCCTATATTATATATTAAGTAATATTAACTTTTAGTCTATAGATCTAGGCCAGGGGCCTCCAAACTACAACCCCCAGGCTGCTACGAAAAAACCCCGGAAATTTATGTGTATCCTGCCAACATCAGCCGCCGCTTACGTGAACGTTATGCCTTTACCTAATTACAATAGAGGCGAGCAGTAGTATGTTATGTTTTCTAACAGATCACTACATTCCAAAAACTTATTGCTACAAGTGGCAAACTGTTAACAGGTGATGAAGAAATGTTTGTTGGAAGTAGCCGAGGAACTTTGCCCAGAAAAGTCAAAACAATTTGAAAAAGTAGTATTGGGTGCAAACATTGCAGACATTGGTGAAAACATCGTGACTCAAATAGCAAAAAATGCCAGCAAGTCTCACCATTTTTCAATTACAATGGACGAGTTGCTGGACAACTGTTCCACCTCTCAACTGCTTGTGTTCATTAGAGGTGTGTATGAAGACATGAACATAACACAAGAGCTGGCTTCACTACATAACATGCAAGACACTGTCACCGGAGAGGATATATTCAATGAGTTAAAAAATATTTGCTAATTATTACTTGGACTAGTTGCCTGACTGTTGATGGAGGAAACTACATAAGTAGCATGAAGAAAGGCTTGGTTGAACAAGTGAAGCAGATTTTTAATGAGAAATATATTCTTCAACCAATGTTCCTGCACTGTATTATTCACCAACAAGCTTTGTGTACTTAATATGTGGACACTAGCATTGTATTGAATCCTGTGATGAAGTAGAACAATTTGATATCAAACTTGCCTGATGATAATCTCAGGTCACTGTTGATGTTAAGGACATCAAATCTAAAGCCAGAAATTTCTGCTATTCTGGAATCGTTGAAACAATTTCACCATTCCTACTAATACAATGACATGCTTTCATGTGTAGTGTAGCAATGTGTTATTAAATAATAACTGAATCTATACATATAATTCTCTTCATGGACACCGTGACGCAGCAATCTGACTACCTAACCCTCCCTCGCTCTCCAGACATGCATAACAGACCTTATTGCTATCACCCCCACCTGTCTGGTGAGCTGTGGTTCAGGCCAAATGTTTACAATTGTAGAGCCGGGTCAAATTCACAAATTATGAATTACTGAAAAGTAGAAAATAAACAACTAAATAGCGGCGTATGGTATGCCGTGGGTCAGCTAGTAAAATCATACTAAATAAATAATTAAAAACAACATCCATGTTTTGATTCTGTTTTATTTGGATCTCGGGTGTGTTCTCGGCCACCAAACTGCTATTTTATAGATTATGCTGCCCTCGGGCTGAAGTTTGGAGATCCCTGATCTAGGCCTATTATTTTACCAATCAGTCCCTTCTTATTTGACTTATTTAATTTTAACACAAAACTTGAATTATCATCTGAAATATATCATTTTCCCAAAGAAATAGCTTTGTCTAATTATTCACCAGGAATAAACTCTTTAATACAATAAATAACTTATAATAGAAGAAAGTAGCCTAAAACTAAAATGTACATTTATTTTATCACGTTATGAACTAATTAATTGCAAAATCACATCAATGTTTTTCATTCTTCTAATTCTTTCTCACTACATATCCTACCTTTGTAAAAATTAACTTTTTTTTTCTACGTGTTAAATGGTATTTTATTTATCTTTTTTTTTAAAAGGCCACCATGCCTACTGTTGTCACCATTAACAATTATTTATTATTATTATTTATTATTATTATTTCATCTTACAAAAACACTAATTGATACAATAAAAATTGTTATTACTGACTTTAGGTCTAACTGTTTAATTATAATAACAGTGATAATACCAATAGAATTTAAAAAAAAATAAAAAAATGTTTCAATATTTTAATCACCAGAACAAAGTTGAGCTTGAAAATATTGTGAAATACACACTATTGACATTACATCCTTCAGCAGCTGAGTAAACAGACAAGGCTTGTTTCCTCTCACCAACAATGAGATCCTCTGAAGAATCGTCTCATGTGAGCTTTGTGACAACAGAAACCACACCTGGTACACATTACACCTATGTTTCAACTTTGGTCGAGCCTGTACAAGAATCAAGTCACGACCCAGGCAGCGCTAACCTCTCTCATCACTTTCAGAATGCTGCCTCTAGTCTGAACACAAATGCAGCACCTGGATTCTCAAATTATGCACCACATGTCGCCCAGAGCTATTCTCCACATTTATACACAACCGCTGCACAGGGCTACACAAATCTAAATGCCGCCCACAATAATCAAATGTCTGTATCTCAACCTTGGCAAACTTCAGCATTACCTGAGCAGCCAGCTCATAATGTGAGTTCCAGGCCGGCTCAGGCCATCGGGCAACACCGACCCACCACAACATCCACACCATCATTCCCCACACCGTCTCCATCAGTGGGGCAAGCAGCCTTCAGGCCTACAAGTAACCAGAACCTGATGCAACCTAGAGCCCCAGCACCCAATGTTGCTGCAGCTGCTAACCCAACTTACGCTGATCTTGGTATAGTAACAGAAAGACCTAAGAGAACAGAGTTTGCATTAGTCGATGCACGGCGCCAGACTTTTCATAGCTGGCCAGATGGTCACCATATTAAAGTCCAGGATATGGTAGATTGTGGTTTATATTATGCAGGTGAAATTTACCTATAAGCTTTAATTGGCTCCAATTTTTTTTTTGGTTCATGGCAATCTTTAAAATTAAAAAATCAAAATATTGTTTGGTTTATTTTTTAAAATTCATTCATTTAAACCAAACTTTTAAAATGGTTTAATTTGACTTAAAATCCTTGTTTATTGCAATCTGCGTCTAACACCAGCCAAGCAGTTCTTAACGCTACATAAGCTTGGTTATAGTTATAATGATTTGAGTTTTGTTGACTCATCAGTTTCATGCACTCTGCAGGCTATGGAGACTGTGCCAGGTGTTTTTACTGCGGTGGTGGACTAAGGAATTGGGATGAGAATGATAACGTATTTGTCGAGCATGCCAGGTGGTTCCCTAAGTGTGGCTTTATCAGACAAAAAGTGGGCCAGGCTTTCATTGATGCTGTACAGAAACTAAACAAAGAACAAGAACAAGTAAGTCAATTCTTTATATAATTTAAGAATAATTTGTTTGGAGCTGTTTAATTAAAAAATTTAGCTTGAAAATCTAAGTTATTTAACAATTTATAAATATTATTGAGACCCCATAATGGTTTGAGTCATTTAGCACGTAGGACTGTTTTATAGTTTTTAGTTTAATCAATTTGAAAATCTTTTTATTGGTTAGAGCTCTTTGTATATTTAAATAAAGTATGATTTAAAAAAAAAAACATTCTTTCACAATGTGTGCACATATGTACAAAATAAATTAATGATAACTAAAATGCCTATCAAAAATCCCAAACCCCCATATATTATATTTAGCCCTAACAAAAAATAACCTGAGACGCAAAGCAACACATTTCATTATGGAGAGTCAAAGTTATTATATTGTATGAATGAAACCAATTTTAAATATTATTAAGATACAATGGTTTGTGTTATTTGTTTAGATTTCGTTTGACAATGTTATGGCTCAGATGGGGCCACTGGCGAATGCTTTTAAGCTGGGTGAGTTTTTCTTATCCCATTTTTAAACCTAATGATACAAGCTATAAATCAGGCTCAATTCCTAATGTTCCTTCTGATAGCTGGGATAACTTTCTTTTGATGTTTAAATACTTTTGTTGCAAGAAACTGATGCTAACTCTGTAAATCAGAAGTTAAAGATCAGATTTAAAATCAGAAGTTAAAGATCAGATTTAAAACAATAAAATTAAAAGTAAAAAGAAATAGGATCAAATTTAAAGTCAAAAGATAAACAATTATTTAAATTAATGTTAAAGGTTTTAGTGTTCAAATTGTTCCCCAAAATCATTTTAAACACTTCTTTACTTTAGTGTTTACAAAAATCATAATTTTTTATAAGGGCTTTTGTGGTTTTATGGTTTTATACTTTGCAAATACATTTTTTATAAGGGTAGTTGTTAATTTCAGACTTCACATAAATTGTCATTTCCAATAGAAAACTTCTATATGAAATGATGTAAAAAAATAATGTCATTAATGCAGATTGTAATGAGCCAGATATAGGAAGAGATCCTGCTGTGAAGACACTGTTGGACATGGGTTACCAGCTTGACACTATCAGTAGGGCTATCATGATGTTCAGGAACCACGGTAAAATTTTGTTCACTTTATAATTAGTTGGATATGAGATATTCTCTTTATACTACCAGTATGGCTATTATATGTTCATAATCAAGTTAAAATTCTGTAAACTTTTCAATTAATGCAAATTTTAAAAAATGCCTTTAAAATAAACAATTTTTGAAAAATGGAAACTATTAGCAACTGCAAGATTTGTTGATTTTTAATTTATTTTTAGTCAAGGTATAAAACAAGAACTACATAATTATAACAACATGAGATTGTGAACATATTAATTCTATTTGTTTAACATGAAGCACTACGTTAACTTTATTTTTTCTTGCAGCTTTTTCTTACAATTCTCTAATAAATCCTTAAACTTTTGTACTTAAGGAAATGGCATCCTCTCAGCTGATACATTGATAACATTGATTGAACAAGGGGATAGGCAAGAAACAGGGATGGATGAGGAATGTCTAGACACTACTTACAGGGGTAAGTTTTGTCTTATGCTTGTTGGTAAGGAATCTCGCTAACATTATAAAACATGAAAAGGCATATATCTTCTTCTTCTTCTTCTTCTTCGTTCTTAATTATTAGTGTTGAAGGGGATCGAGATTTATCTGCCAGTGGGTTTGAACTCGAGACTTTTTCGAGAATATCAACCATGAGCTTTTTGCCGAATCGACCACGCCTCCAACACAATTAAGCGTTACATGTCAACTGGTTATGCGCCATTGAGGCCATTGACTCCGATTTCAGCCTGCTTTTCTTTTTGGATTTGCTTCCATAGCCTTTGTCCAACCAAGAACAAACTACAAGGCAGCAGTTGTTTACTTTTGGAGTTGTCTCTCCTAGAAGAGTGGCTGTCCCCAGCTAACGAGCCTCATCTGCCCGAGGGTTCGAACTCGAGACTTTTCGGTTTAGCAACCATGAGCTTTACCGACTCGACCACACCGACCCGGCATATATCTGACCCATCCCTATCTCCTTTGCTATTTCATCATTTTTTTCTCTTCTTTGCCTTAGACACATGGGGCAGATAAAGTAGAGTATCTGTTTTTATGACCCCACATACTTTGTGATAGTGTGGTATGCCCAGCCAAACTTAGCTCTCTAATGTGAGGCAGGTATTAAACGGAGGTGGGTGGACTCAAAAAGATGCTACAAACTCAAAACAGGAATCTGAACTTGAGATCAGCGGTTGTAAGCTCTACCATGGTCACCTATAAAACTACCATTAGCCTCCCCAGTTCAAATTATATAAAAATCTTATAAACATCACCTCCCCCAGGCTTAGAGACACCATATCTGATAAAATGTCCTCTCCCACATTCCCTGAAATGTTGCTCAGTGTATAGTTCCAAAATTTGATTATTTCAATTGGTTTTTGTAAAATTTTTTTCTCTAACCCCAACAGTTTATGATTACCCTTCAAGATAAAATAAACACTGAGATATAATGAACGATGATACATGTTGCCATTTGACATATCTAGAACAAATTTGTAGTTAACATAATATCTAGACCAGTTGAGTGCCCTATGCCCTTCACCACCTCAATGTAATCTAATGTAGACTGGTTATGTTACTTTTGACTAACTAGTGACTGGATTATCTCCCTTCAGTTATCAATCTAGCCTCTATTTTGTTTTCTATAGATTTTTTGTTGTTGATGTATGTATTTATTTTTAAATTATAATATTCAAATATTTTTTCATAGAGGTATTCTTTTAATTAGTTTTCAAAGCACTATATTTTAATTATGTCCACAGTTTAAAAAATTTTTACTGTTATTCATTGCCAGACACCCAATATGTAGCCCATGTATAACACTGCCCCCCCCCCCCTCATTGCCAGCCATCCTATATGTAGCCCATGTATAACACTGCCCCCCCCCCTCATTGCCAGCCATCCTATATGTAGCCCATGTATAACACTGCCCCCCCCCTCATTGCCAGCCATCCTATATGTAGCCCATGTATAACACTGCCCCCCCCCCCCTCATTGCCAGCCATCCTATATGTAGCCCATGTATAACACTGCCCCCCCCCCCTCATTGCCAGCCATCCTATATGTAGCCCATGTATAACACTGTCCCCCTCTCATCACTAGCCATCCTATATGTAACCCATGTATAACACTGCCCCCCCCCCATTACCAGCCATCCTATATGTAACCCATGTATAACACTGCCCCCCCCCCATTACCAGCCATCCTATATGTAACCCATGTATAACACTGCCCCCCCCCCATTACCAGCCATCCTATATGTAACCCATGTATAACACTGTCCCCCTATTAATGCCAGCCATCCTATATGTAACCCATGTATAACACTGCCCCCCCCCCATTACCAGACATCCTATATGTAACCCATGTATAACACTGCCCCCCCCCCCCATTACCAGCCATCCTATATGTAGCCCATGTATAACACTGTCCCCATATTAATGCCAGACATCCTATATGTAACCCATGTATAACACTGTCCCCATATTAATGCCAGACATCCTATATGTAACCCATGTATAACACTGTCCCCCTATTAATGCCAGACATCCTATATGTAACCCATGTATAACACTGTCCCCATATTAATGCCAGACATCCTATATGTAACCTATGTATAACACTGTCCCCCTATTAATGCCAGACATCCTATATGTAACCCATGTATAACACTGCCCCCCCCCCCATTACCAGCCATCCTATATGTAGCCCATGTATAACACTGTCCCCATATTAATGCCAGACATCCTATATGTAACCCATGTATAACACTGTCCCCATATTAATGCCAGACATCCTATATGTAACCCATGTATAACACTGTCCCCCTATTAATGCCAGACATCCTATATGTAACCCATGTATAACACTGTCCCCATATTAATGCCAGACATCCTATATGTAACCTATGTATAACACTGTTCTCCCCCCTTGCCAGCCATCCTATATGTAACCCATGTATAACACTGTCCCCCTATTAATGCCAGCCATCCTATATGTAACCTATGTATAACACTGTTCTCCCCCCTTGCCAGCCATCCTATATGTAACCCATGTATAACACTGTCCCCATATTAATGCCAGACATCCTATATGTAACCCATGTATAACACTGTCCCCATATTAATGCCAGACATCCTATATGTAACCCATGTATAACACTGTCCCCCTATTAATGCCAGACATCCTATATGTAACCCATGTATAACACTGTCCCCCTATTAATGCCAGACATCCTATATGTAACCCATGTATAACACTGTCCCCATATTAATGCCAGACATCCTATATGTAACCCATGTATAACACTGTCCCCATATTAATGCCAGACATCCTATATGTAACCCATGTATAACACTGTCCCCATATTAATGCCAGCCATCCTATATGTAACCCATGTATAACACTGTCCCCATATTAATGCCAGACATCCTATATGTAACCCATGTATAACACTGCCCCCCCCCCATTACCAGCCATCCTATATGTAACCCATGTATAACACTGTCCCCATATTAATGCCAGACATCCTATATGTAACCCATGTATAACACTGTCCCCCCTGTCATCGCCAGACACCCTGAGAGAGCTGAGAGAGAGCAACCAGCAGCTGCGCCAACAGACCATCTGTAAGATCTGCATGGACAAGGAGGTGACCATTGTGTTTCTGCCCTGTGGTCACCTGGTGTCCTGCACGGAGTGTGCAGTGGCACTCAACAGCTGCCCAGTCTGTCGGACAACCATCAAAGGCACTGTGAGAGCTTTCATTACTTGAGCCAGCTGTTGAGGGCTGATGGTTATATAAAGACAAGTGTGGTGAAAACTTATTTACTACATAGAAAATATGATTTTATATTTTAGCAAAAATTGCTTAGAGATTTTTGTTAAGCAGTTCTTTTTAAGAAACCAGAATTTTTTTCATTCACTGAAAAATTTGGTAAAATTTCCACAAAAGTTATTCAGTTTATTTTTAAAAAATCTTAATCACATGCACGAAGCATTTTTAGCAAAGATTCACTAAATTAAAAATACCAACTTCACTTTATTGCCATTAATTGTGTAAAAAATTCAATTTTGCATTTGATTACTATAGAAGAAAGTGTGTGCTTGTGTAGAGAAGGTAGTTAGGATGATGGGATATAGGATAGTGTTTGTGAGAAAAACAAATTGTGTACAACATTCAACTGCCATTTTACAAAGTATATCTATAAATCTTCGTGTACCCAGAAATCTTTGCAAAACAGGATTGAACTTTAACCACATCAAATTGTCTTAACAGATATTTGTAACTGCATTTGTTAAAAAATTATTATGCAAGAGTTATATAGTCTATCTAGAAATTTTTAAATGTTTACCAGCAGTTGTTTTACTTTATTCCTCATTCTTTTGTCTCTTTCTATAATTGATCCAAACTTTTAAGTGAGATTTCAAGCACTTGTACTGAAATGATTTCTTTCTAATTTGACAAGTAGATCAAGACCTGTTGACAATGCAATCTTCTTTAAACATTGACATAATTAGATGTTTTATTAACATTTAAAAAATTAATTAAAGCATGTTATATATTGTACTAATTGTATTATGCTATTAATATAAGTCAGGGCATTCATTCAGTTCCCAAGTTTTTTTTAGTTATGCAATTCAGTTCTACTTTAAAAGAATGAAATTTTTTAAAAATCTGTAAAAACATTTCTGATAAGAAGCTTTTATTTATACACTTAAAAAATTAAAATACAAACACTTTTTAAATACCTATAAAGTAAAGCATGGGTTGCTATAATCTGCATTAAATACCCTAAATAACATTTTATTAAGGACTCACGCTTTTCTTTATACGAGCCAACCCATGGCGTAAGGCTGCTATTTAGTAAGTCATAATTTGTGAATTTGACTCTACCAATGCTGCCACTGAAAATATTTGCTTTAAAACACCCCCGTCGTGAAAGCACCCTCTCCTTAGTTACCTCCCTTTAATTTCAAATCTTTTAAAAACTAAATTATATGCCCCTAACAGCAATTACTAATTCACCCCATCTCTACAATTGTCAACATTTAGCGTGAACCACAGCTCACCAGACTTGTGGGGGGTGGAGGTAGTAGCAATATGCCTAGAGAGTGAGGGAGGGGGCGACTCGGCGCTCGCACGTGGTGTACCGCGTGGTCCCCACATAGAGAATTATATATACAGATTTAAAGAAAATCATTTTATTTTATTTTTGTGCTTATGCAAAAGCTTGTTATTGTCAACATTTTTTATTAATTTATTTTTTATCTAGTTTAGTCCAGTGTTGTTGGTCTGTAGAGTTGGATTGATTATTAGTAGCGTCTGTAGAGTTGGATTGATGTTTAGTAGCCAATAGTGATGATTATGAGTATGTTATAAAGGAAATACTCCTATTATATAATGGTGTCAAATAATAAAAATGACACCACATATGTAGGCATTATATTGGGAAACAGCTCTTAAGTCTGAATACTGACAAGAGGATTCTCATTTCACACAAGAGGGTAATGGAATTATATTAACACATCGTATAATTTAATTAATTTCTTGAACTGTAATTATGTTTTGTAAAATTTGTTTATATAAAAGATTATTATTTTTCTCTTAGCCTGTAACCAGTAAAAAAATTATTATAATTTCCCTTTGCTGTTTTTTTACTGACCATAAACTGACTTAACGCTAAATAAATTCTTGGGGATTAACAGCAAGCTTTTTTAAAAATATACATTTCTAAAAAAAAAACAATTTTTATTTTTCTAAAAAAATGTATGTGTCATTGTTATGGTTTTTTTTTTAAATTTATATTTTTAACTAATTGAATATTTATTAAGAAAATATTTGTTTTTTAAAAAAAGCCAACTTTTAAAAAAAACACTGCCATTTTGACTATTGTCACTTACTGCTGTAGGTAGAACGAGGATTATAAGAACAAGATCTAAAGTTAACAATCATCCATTTTCTCATGGCAAGGCAGCTACATCATTTCTATTAATGCAATCATGCATTTACTTACTAGTTATTTAATAACTAGTGCATTTTATTTTGTCATGTTTTACAAACTTTTTTCTCTTCATAGAGATCCTGGTCCTTAAATTATCCCAAAAGGTTGATTCATTAATTCAGAAAAATTACTGAATTAGACTGCAATAATCATTGCTTCAATGCCCATCCCCCATCCCCCTCCCCCGCCATTCCAAATGCAGCTGGAAATTTGTATTGAAAAAACAAATTGTACTATTATTATTGTATATAAAAGTATATTGCATTTTTATGTATTTTTATAAAAAGTGCATCAATACCATGAAATTTATGTGTAAAGTGTTTACATAAGAGTGATGATTAGTCTATCTTTATCTAGCCAATTAATTATAAACATTATTAATACAATACTTTTTTATTGAAATTCTGGCAATTAAACAATCAATTAATTGTGTGTAATTAATACAATTTTATGTAAATTTTTTATCTTTCTAACATATATGTTTCAAAGCATTGAAAATTTAAAAATAAAGTTAATTTGTTCTGAAAAAAAAAACATTTAATCACTTTTTAAAGTTGATCACAATATATTAAGATTTGTAACACAATTATTTCTTTCTTTGTATTTTTAAATGTAACCCTGTATATTTCTATATTTATTTATTTTGTGGGCAATAATTAATGTGTAAAGAACCATAAACTATGAACTTTTATTAAGCTGCATTAAGTCATTAGTTGATTATGATTATTTTTTCTGTTAAAACAACATCATAGCTAGACTTTTTCAACATTTTTTTCATGATTTAGACTCTATATGCCATTTTGCTCTAAAACTATCAAGGTAAAAAAAGTTCAGGGCCATTTTCTCTTACTAATTCAATTTCATCAAGTGCTTAATTTAAAATGGTTAAAGAGAACAAAACAGTAAAGCTTTGTTGTGAACATTTTTTAAAACTGGAGTTGGAATCAGAGGCATAGCAAGGGGGGGTACGTATGTCCCCGGGCGTCGACCCTAGGAGGTGCCAAAATGGGTTGAAAAAAATTAAAAGCTCATTTTTGCTGGGGGGGGGGGGCTAAATTGAAAGTTTGTCCCCGGGTGTCGGGAAGGGTGGCTACGCCTCTGGTTAGAATAGTCTTGTTTTGGGAAAGTGAAATTTAATTCAGTAATTTAGTACCTTACCTAAGGTCTAAACAATACATAAATAGCAAAATTAATAGATATCTTTTCTTCTTTTGGCCATCATAGTTAAGTTGGCCCACACATTTTTTTCTAGTTAATTGCAGAGTTTTTATGTTTAAATTGTGTTCATTGAAATGGGTTATATACCTATTGAATGTTCTATCCTAGTTTAACATGAAATACTACTAATGGTTTGATTAAGTTGTTTTTGTTTAATATTTGAAGTTAATATTGTATGAGTTGATACATGTTTCTGTAAACTTAAGTCAATTCAGTTGGCCTGTTTGTATAATCTGTGGATTAAGCTGTATAATACAACTTGGAATAAAACATTTTAAAAATTCTAAACAAGCTTAAATTAATAACTGTAATATAATAACCCTCATAGGAGCATTTATGAAATTTATAAATCTATAAACCTATGTTGTAAAAAATATAAATCTAGAAAACTAGGTGGGGTCATATGAAACCTAACATGGAGTTCATATGAAACATAACATAGGGTCATATGAATCATAACATGGGGGTCATATGACCATAGCCTCACACCATGTTGAAACACAAGACCCACAAATGTAGGGTCACTGGCAAAAAATCAACAAGCCGTAAATGATCTACACTAACACAATCTATAAATGACCCCCACACATATGGTGTGGGCAGCACATAACAATCTATCAATGACCCCCACACATATGGTGTGGGCAGCACAGAATCAACAATCTATCAATGACCCCCACACATATGGTGTGGGCAGCACAGAATCAACAATCTATCAATGACCCCCACACATATGGTGTGGGCAGCACAGAATCAACAATCTATCAATGACCCCCACACATATGGTGTGGGCAGCACAGAATCAACAATCTATAAATGACCCCCACACATTTGGTGTGGGCAGCACAGAATCAACAATCTATAAATGACCCCCCACACACATGGTGTGGGCAGCACATAATCAACAATCTATAAATAACCCACACACATGGTGTGGGCAGCACGTAACAATCTATAAATGACGCTTACACACATATGGTGTGGGCAGCACATAATCAGCAATCTATAAATGACCCCCGCACATATGGTGTGGGCAGCACATAACAATCTATAAATGACGCTTACACACATATGGTGTGGGCAGCACATAATCAACAATCTATAAATGACCCTTACACACATATGATGTGTGCAGCACATAACAATCTATAAATGACCCTTATACACATATGGTGTGGGCAGCACATAATCAACAATCTATAAATGACCCATACACACATATGGTGTGGGCAGCACATAATCAACAATCTATAAATGACCCATACACACATAAGGTGTTGCTGGTATAACTATGTATCAGTGGGGGCAGGGCGTGATTGTCACCATCTGATGTTTAGTGATTGTAGCGGCTGACCCTGAGAATCAACACCAACACACTGGATACGTCACAGGACCAAATTTAACGCACGCAGCGGGGTCGGCGTGGTCGAGTCGGTAAAGCTTATGGTTGCTAAACCGAAAAGTCTAGAGTTCGAACCCTCGGGACAGCCACTCTTCTAGGAGACAACTCCAAAATCAAACAACTGCTGCCTTGGTTATGGAAGCAAATCCAAAAAGAAAAGCAGGCTGAAATCGGCGTCTAAGGTTTCAATGGCGCATAACTAGTTGACACGTATCCTTAATTGTGATGGAGGCGAAAAAAAAAAGTTCATGGTTGATAAAACTCGAAAAAGTCTCGAGTTCAAACAGTTAAGGGGGTACATATGTCCCCGGGCGCCGACCTTAGGGGGCGCCAAAATGGGTTGCAAATTGAAAATTTGCTCCCGAGGGGGAAACTGAAAGTTTGTCCCCGGGCGCCGGGAAGGGTCGCTACGCCTCTGAACGTATCCCCCTCTTTCTCCCCCCCCCCCCCCCCCAAAGAAATTTACCCCAGAACGAAATGGAATTTAAATAGAAAACATACTTTTACCA